TGGGGAAACTGAGGCACGGGCTGGCGAAGGTGTTTGCCCAAGGTCAGACAGGGAGCAGGTGTCGAGGAGGACCCAGGCCTCTGGAGAACGCTGCTGCCACCTTCAAACAAAGCTCTTGACCTCTGGGTTGCTTATTTGAATTTATTTATTTGTTGTGAGTTGCCCGGCCCATGTCCAGGCCCGCTGCATTTGGGTGGACCAGTGGCTGAAGCTGGTTTGTCCAAGAGCATTGGGGAAGGGATGAGAGTCCCTGTGTGGGCTTCCTTGGCGGATGTCTGTGTGGCACTGCAGACCCTCATCTTGGGCAGGACCCTCGTGCTCCAGGGGCTGTAGAGGCTCTCCGCAGGCTGCCGACCAGCCCCAGGGCAATGGGAAAGCCACGTTTGGCAGGGGCAGGGACAGCGTACGGCGAGAGCGGGGAGCTGTGCTGCGGCAGGCATGGGGTGAGCGTGACAGCTGTGGCAGAGCCAAGCCAGTGGCCCTGAGGTGAGAGGTGGGGATCTCTGGAGGGGCGAGAGCTTCCCCTCCCCATCGTGGGGTGCCTCCCTGGTGTGGAGGGTGACCCCATGGTCGGCAGGTCTTTTTATAGGACTAGAAAGTTTTCCCTGAGAGCAAAGAAGTGAGAAGGGGAACTGGGCAGCCCTTTGCAGGCAGGAAGGTCTCTAAGGCCACCACTCACTCAGCGGATTAATTCCCAGCCCCAGGCCTCCTCTTGGGACATTGGGAACGGCTGTGAGCACCTTCATGTGCTGCCGTGTGCCCACCACCAAAACAGAGCCAGGGAATAAATGCGGCAAGGAGAGGGGACACGGAGTTGCCTGTGATTCGGAGGCACTGGGAGCATGAGAGCAGGCAGATCTGGCAGCCAGGAGTGCCCGACTGCCCCTTTCCCGTGACCTTGATCAAATCACTTCACCTGTCCCAGCTCCTCCTTCCCTCTCTGCACCATCCTGCACTGCTTGTCTGCTTTTCTCTGCGCTTGCCCTGCGTGGCCTCGGTCCTCGCCTGGTTTCCCCATGCCTCTTCCCAGAACTGAGCAGGGCAGCTGACAGGTTTGGCCGTGGGTCCCCTCGCCTGGAGAGGGGATGGTTCACCACCAGCAGCCCCGACTCCGGGGCTTGGGAACAGCAAAGCCTCTTCAGAGAAGGCAAGAACTGTCCTGAACTTTATGGACAGCTCAAACCCATTAACAAGCTGGGAAAAGTCCAATTAACCTTTATTTCTTATAAAATTGCAAAGCTCTTGGTTTCTGTGCCCTCCTGCACAGAATTTGCTTCTGATTTTGGCCAGACCTGGAGGAGCCGCTGTTCCCCTGGGGCATTTCTGGTAAAGCTGGAGGAACCCTCCCAGGAGAGCCTGACCTTGCAGGCGTGGAATGATTTGGGGAACCTTGGGATCTCTTAAGTGCCAGAGTAAATGGCTCCTTCCCACTAATGGACACAGCTCTAACCTGACTCGTCCCCACCATGAACCGGCTGCGATTCGCTGTATAGAGCAAAAACGAGACTCGAGTCCTGTAAACGCCGTGGAGCGTCCAGAGTCGGGTGAGCTCGCCTTCTCCTCCAGACCAGCGCCTTCGGCTGGGGCACCTGCAGCGCTCGGAGGCTGCGCTGCAGCCCTGTGCCTCGGGCTGGCAGCTGCCTGCGCTGCCCAGCTGTTCCCGAAAGGGCTGCTCTGATCTCTGCCGGTGGTAGCCCCTTTCTCTGTCCTGTTCGGTTCTTCAAAGCCTGCTGGCTTCCTTTTCTTCCCTTTATAGGGGAAGGAAGAGCTTCCCCTGCTTGGCAGGCTCCATCCCTGGTGGTTCCCTGGTATGAGCTGAGCAGAGGCTGAGGGAGGATCTTTGCCCTTCACTGGGGCGAGTTGTAAACCCGTCTCACACCAGCAGCACCAACTGCTCACTGCCCTGTAATGGGCTTCAGCCACATCAGAGCCAGCAGCCCAGCCCTCCTTGAGAAGGCCGTGCCGCTTGGATCGTGTCGTTTCTCTTCGCGAGCCCGATGTCAGGGTCCTACAGGCTCCCTTTACTCACCAAACAGATGCTTTATGGCATGCAGACCAGCAGAAGGTGGATCAGTCTCCACCCACCCAGGTCAAGACTGAGTTTCCTCCCTCCAGGAAGCCAAATTATCTTGTTCCACCGGGATCAAACACCACAGTCCCTGCCCAGCCTGGCAGATGGGAGAGGAAATTCCCATCAGTACCTAGCCCTTTGCTGACAGCATCCCCGCTGCAGACAGCGCGAGCCTGTCTGCACACAACGGTGGGAGCCTGAGGGACCGGAGGGATCCTGCCTCCATCGTGGTGACACCAACAGCTCCTGAGCCAGCGCAGGAGCTTCCTGGAGCGCTTGGTCCGCAGTGGAGCTGGCACCAGGAAAATGCAAACGGCAGAGTGTCCTCGTGGGCGGAGAAGAGGATCTGTCACTTGGGAGAAGTGTTTTAGCCCAGTCACGTCTCTTCCCCCACTTCGCCTCCTATCTTCCTCCTTCCAGGCAGGAGGCAGCACCTCTCTGGGGCCTGTGTGTTGGTGTCCTCCATGTGCTGCGGCTGCCAGAGAAGGTTCCTACGAAACACCTTTTCTTCCCGCTTTGCTGAGATTCCTTAATTTTTATTCTTCCCCTTAAAGAGCTTGTTTTTAGGGGGCTGTCTCCATTTTAATTTTGAGGTTTAAGGCTCTGCTGCTGCAACTGGCAATCAAGCGTCCGGATTCCTCTGGTGACTTTGGAACATTTTGGCGCTGTTTTTGCCTGATGAGTGCTCGTATGTGGCAGACACCAGAGCCAGTCAACCAGAGGGGGAATCCTGCAGGACACCAGATGCTGTTAGCTCTGTTCCTCACAATGGCAGAGCTTGGAGATGTCGGCGCAGTTGGACCTGCGCTGGGGATAGGGTGCAGGTAGATACCAGAGCCACGGCTCCGTGGCACTGTGGGGTCGGCAGTGTCACATCAGGGGAGGCAGGATGGGAGAAGTGACCTCTGGCCGGTGCCTGGAGTTGTCTGAGTGTGTCGGAAGGAGGGGGACGGGGAGCCTTACGAAAAGTCCCGTGCATGTGTCTTAAATACAGCAAAGCAACGTGGCCGGAGTCATTCCCTGCCTACCTGGGGTGGAGGGATTGCTCCGCTGTGGTGCAGTAATTAGAAGCCATTGAGTTTGTTAGCTGGCAGCTCCGGAAAGGCTGCTGATGCTTCTAACGACTTCCATACGGGGGAACGCAAACG